TAAAAAAATGGAAAGCTGTTTGTTGTTGGTGATTGAATTGTTAATAACTTGTGAAAATTACGGGTCCTTTTTTGTGATGATTGAATTCGTTACAATTGATTGTTGATAATTAGTTTGAATAAACACTGTATCGCTTTCGTCGTTATGCAGATGATAAGTTATAGCGCTATTGATAAAAACTGATACATACGAAATTTTCAACAACTGATTTTCGACAGAGTGAAGCAGTTGTTATTTCTCCTCCTTCATCTGGAATGAAGCGGTTGTGATGACCTTTTTTTGCGATAAGGTCAATTGCAGTAGACTGAATCATACCACAACTCCATTGGTAAAGGTTCCACTAATAATTAAATGTATCTGCTCCGATGAACTTGTCGCAAGAGACGAGAGAATGTACACGGGACTATTATCAGCGCGTAGCGGATTTGAGGATTGAGGAATATAGTAAAATGGCAATTGCGTATGCCTTATCACAGCTTGCAGTTCTTGCTGTCGAAAGTGATAGAAAGGTGTAAGTTCTGTGTTCATTTCTCAAACTGATAAACAAATTGTATCTGCTTAATGAACTTATGTTAAGATGCGAGAAAGGCGGAGAAAAGGCTAGATTAGCTGACCTTTCCAAATGTGATAGTATGGCTAAGGAGTCGCGACGACAACACGTTAAGAAAAGCGTCTCGTCCTCGATGCGTTGGATGCGGAAGCTAGACATTTTGTAGATTACAGACTAGAGATATGCCGAGGATTGCAATGTTCAACTGTGCTTTCCTCCTCTTTACCTTTTTTCGATAATTTGACAAAGAACTAGACTATGCTTAGGTTCACATAATATATATCCATGAATAAATCACTTTAAGTGGAGAGAATCTCTACCTTTCATTTGTGAAACGATAAGGGCCTGGAAGTGTTGAATACCCGCTTATTGTGGAACTAATTGTTTTCTTCAATTTTACTGTGAAAACTTTACCAATATCCAGATTCGAGCATCTGCTGCATCCCTGCACTGCATCGCTTATGCTTTAGAGATAAAGGGAACGCAAAAGAGTTATGTAGAGTGTTGTATAGATTTTAGTGATAATTCTGATATTAACTGAGATGCTGTTATTCACGCGGCAATCTTCAGCTCCATTTTTTGTAATCGGCTTCCTCTTCTCATCCCCTGAAAACTGATGCTGCCGTTTTTTAAAGCATTTTCAAAGACCAGTATACCTAACGCCTGATGATTGTGCAGAATAATGTTATCTGAGAGTAACTTTCGTTGGAAATCCAACGTTGCATGCGCGAAAGGCTATGTTGTAATGAAATGTCCAAGTAAATGTTCGATCCCAATTCTGTAATGTCGGACCTTGGTAAGAGGGATTACTACTGTGAACGAAGCTGTCTAATAAGACTCTGGACGGTTCTGTGCCGTATTGAACGCATTTCTCGAAGCTCATCTCGCGTGAGAACTGCTCAGACAATCCAACGGAACTTCCTCCGTGGAGACCACAATGCCGGAACTTCTCGAAAATCGCAAAATAGCGTTGAAACTTGAGAGAGTTTCGATTTTCGGAACTTTCGGAAAAAAAATGACGTCACAAAAATGGCCAACCGAAGCTTCCACGGATTTTCCTGGGAATCACCGTTCTCAGTCGGACGTTCCTTTAATTTCAGTTTATTAGGACTTCTGCACGGTTATGTATTAGCGTAAAATAAATGGGGCGCAGTGTAACTTCACCTCACGTCGGAACTCCGCAAGACTATGTATACGCGTAAAATGGATAGGTTGTAGAATTGCATCTCACATTTTTCATTTTGCAAAACATGAGTCATCGACTTTATTTTGATATTTCTTCCTCCATTTTTCGCTTTGATTGTACTTCTTCTCATCATCTAAGTTTTGTAACGATCCAGAGTTCAGTAGGCTGATCTACAACAAGAACTGTCGTGAACTATGGGAGGAAGTTGATTACTTGTAAGTCTGAGGTGAAGGTAACAGAAGATGAAAGATGCTTATAAGCTTTTGGCGTTTTCACACCTTTGCAACTTGTTTTTAGCCATATGGGAGGATCCTCTCCTAATTTCGTCTAAGGCGCCGCAGAGCTGGGCAGTTGTATTTCTTCATAGCTCATGACGCTATTGACAGTCACAGCAGTAGTACATTTCCTTTTGAATCACCGATATAGTGCCACTAACTCCTGCTGTGAGATATTTTCTTGGGTTCTTACGCAAATGGTACTTCTACCACAGCACCCCAAGCAGACAACAAGTGAACATTTTCGAATATCACTTTGAAAAATGCTTTTTGTTTTATGAAGAAATACGACACATCATCCGCAAATTATATTTTAAATGAAGTATACTGAAGTTGGTCCCCATCTGCATGTCCTTATACCGGGTAGGTATTCGCTCTGAAGATAATTACATACTCGATTTCCCCAAAACGAGGAATGTGGCACAATCGTCTTCGCAGACGTTATGAGCTAGGACTAGGGACGGCTTCGGTGAAATCGTTGAGGTCTGGCGATTCATAAAGCGACCTGCACTGATAGAGGTAACTCAAAATAATAAACTCACAATTGCATTCCAAATTTGCCAAGCGTTTCTCTGGAAAAAAATAATAAACGGTTTAGTCAAAATTTACAGGACATATAAAGTGCTTAGACGTTCAGCCACGATCCA